GCAAATCCTAGATACCATATTCCATTAAAAGATTGCTAAAACGCAATAACTTGGTGCCAATCGGCATCGGTCCCGGTGAACTTTTTCTAATATATCCGGCGAACCACCCCCCGGTTCCTAGGGCCCCCGAGATCCAAGAAACAATGCCAACCAAATGTGCGACAGACAAGATTCTTCTCCACCCGAACCCCGATTAGCGTATCGGAGTCGGGGCAGATACGGCAAGGTTTACGGGACAATATCTATATTGTGTAACGGGTAATCACCGGTGTTTGAGTTTGGGCAATCATATTATTCTCGAGTACGACTGTGGTATCGATCGATACCTGAGCATCGACGGTCTGGGTGTTTCCGCAAGGCGCAGGCATGCGGAACGCACTGTGGCTACATATCGCATGGGAAATGGACAAGCTGCGGCTAGGGAGCGTACCGGTACGGTACTCGAGGACGGTGCCGGTGCCCGAGCACCGTTTGTGCCGAACAGAAAACTGGGCAAAGTTGTGTGATATGAGAAGGTGTGTTTAGGACAGAATGTACCGTATTATCATATTATATTTCTTTTTCATGCTTAGTCAGAGATAAAATTTCTTTTCCAGGTAAAATACCGGTATCCTAGTCCCACAATTGATTAGTGCCAGCTAAGAAAAATGTCACAACCCAACCACGAGCAAATGGACTTCTATCCTTAAATAGCTTTCTTGAAGCTTTCGAGAGAAGCCTTGAACATTATTCCAAAATCCTTTAGTTGCTAACCATCCCAAAATCTGACCGATGTTGCAGTTTCTAAGCGATGCCGCTCTTGGAAAAGGTAATGTGAAAAAGGAAATAATAATTATAGGAATATGCTCCTTCTCGCCCAAACCGTACTCGAGTAAGTTACCGGTATACGGGTATCATTGTAGAAGCGACAATGAGCAGGGAATTGGGGACGACGAACAGCCAATCAAATTTGACGTTTGCTACTCGATTTCTTGGCATACCGTAAATTCTGGGTGAACTCGACCCGCCGCTATACTTCTTAAGGCAGCCACCAGTTCTATTAAGGCCCAATCCTGTGGCAAATGCGCTTTTCTGGGGCCAGTAAGTGCCATACAGAGAATAGCGGCAGGTCGAGTTTACCCAGAACTTACGGTAGTTCGCCGTCTGTCCATTGTCCCCTGCTAGTATGTTACCCTTGCCTTGCCGTAGCACCAGTGCTCGTACTTGTTGACTATCGTACTGCACCGATATCTATCATGCGACCAAAAGGTTTCGGGTAAACCTGCTTTTGGCTGGGCACATTTAAGCACTCATCAGTGTCGGTACTCGTACCTTTCCAATCCAGATGCAAGCCATGGAAGTGAGGATTAACTTGATAAGAATCCCGTGGATCGCCGAGGCCAGAAAGGGGCGCTTGGTGATACCCATATTGTCAGCGGTTGACGATGCTTTGGATTTCCTGCGGGTTGTCCAACTCGAGCATTCATAGTATGATACTCGTACCGGTACATCTGATCCTTCCAAGCGAAACTTTTAGTATGATACCAGTACAGCCTCTGGTGAACGCTGCAATATTGCGCAATCAAGCCCTGAAAAAGAGGGACTCGGGGGCTCTGGGCTTCCCTCTCGCGCAGCCCTTGGGAAATTCACAATGATATTACAAGTATTATCATCCATACTCGAGCATGATTTCTCTTATTCCTGGATGAGCAAGTCAAGCTGATGGAGTACCGTACCGCACCGACCTCCCAATCTATCGCGGGCGGAGGGCAATGCTCAGCTGGAATGCAGTGTACCCCAAAATACGATAAGACAAAAAGCCACATTCCACCCAGACCGCCGAATGACACACACGTTTTCCACGTGAAGGGGACACGCGAGTGAGCCGTGGTGAAGAGCGGAAAGCAAGCGGCAGGATTGGTTTGCCTGCATGGGGCTGGAACGACAATGTGGGAAAAAGCACATATATCATTGGACCTTGCTACTTGTATCCATTGAATACCGTATTTCCGTTTCCCCGCAGCAGGCATGGGTGAGGATGGGCGAGCAGCGAAAAAAGGAGCTCTAGTACCAGGATACCCTCCTCCGCCCAACAGATGCTGTTGTATCGTGTCGCGGAGAGGCCTGAGCGCTTGAGGGTGGAGGCTTTGTTTATTTTTATTTTTCTGTCACCGGGAATCGGGGTTTTCTGGAGAATATCTTGACATTTGTACTTCGGGTACGGTACTCGAGTACCGTATTGTACGATGTGTTTTGTGGAGCCTGAATGCAGGAATAGTTAGGTGAAAATGGAAATCAAAAAAAAAAAAAAAGAGTGGAGGGGGAAAGAAAACACCTGGTCTTTGCGATGCTGCGTGAGAGATCAGGCACTGAGTGCTTGGTAAGGGGGTTATCTATTGGAGTTCTTCCTTGAGTATCTAGACGAAGGAGGTGTACTCGGGGGGGTGGACGAAAGTGATGAGAGGGACAGGGGTTTGAAGTCCCCGTGCCCATTACTGTAAGAGGCAAGAAATGATTTAATTTGGTAGGTCTAATGCCAGAGAGGGCAAAAAGCTTTGACATCTCCAACCCCTGTCCCTCTCATCACTTTCGTCCACCCCCGAGTAAGCGACATCTCGTGTCTGATTCCCTGGAGAGAGCAGAGTTCACGAAAGGGAGAAGAGGTTTCACAGAGGATGAGGGTTAATTTCGTAGTCATGGTTGGGAAAGAGTCGAACAGGAGGGGTCAGAGGGCTCCAACATGTTTTCAAACACCAAATCTATGATAACATCCCAGATACGGTGCTCGAGCATGCCGACATTGACGCAAGATTATCATACCGTGGTAAGAATTGTTGGGTTTTCCGGTGCAAGTACAGTACGAGTACTCGTACAGTATGAAAACATATTACTGGGTGCTTGTACGAGTACTCGTACGGTACTCGTACTGATAGTAAATTTAGTATAGGGGATTTTAAATTTAACAAAAACGCAAGCAAGATGCCCGGCGACCAAAATCCAACGAATAGGCCCCAACCACAACAACAACAAAAGTCCTCAAAGAAATACTCTGCCTGTAGCTGCCGGCCTGGGTGCCGCTAGAGATGTTTTCGTGCAATGCAGGGAATATTTTGCCGATTAACCTAAAATTAACCGCTTACTTACTAACTTTATCGGGCGGTACTGGTACCCAAGATAGACTCCGTCCTCGTTCAATAAGAGTATGTATTGGTTTGGAAAGGTAAGAGGGGCATTTTTTCCTTTTTTTTTGCATGTATTACTAAGCGGGGAAAGGTGAGGGAGTGTCGTGTTCTAGACTGCGCATAGACGCTAAAACCTTCCTCTTCATTACACAAGCAATGCCGTTTTTCTTGCCTTGCGTAACCACACGTCGACCGCTCATGATAATTTACAGAAACGGCTTCCAACCTGTATTATACGAGTACTCGAACGCAATTGCAGCAGGACAAAAAAGCACGGAAAGGCAACTCTTTTTTTATACTTTTAATTTTTTTCTTTTCCTTCCAATTCTACAGGGATTTAGACATCAGGAAGTGAATTAAGGGGAAAGAATTGGAAGGAACAAGGCGGAGTGTGCATTTTTTGTCCCAGCAACCTATGCTGTACGGCAGCTGATATTGGTTGATTGATCGATTGATTTCCGCTTCCCGCGGGTTGCTTGGTCAGTTACCGACTCGTGTGAATATGGGGAGAAAGCGAGAGAAGGGGAGGGAGGAAAGAAGGGGGAAGGCCGGGGGGGATGAGGAGGGTCGGATGTAGGTATGGGTGGATGGATGGAAGGAAAACTTCTACGGTATGGGAGGATCAAAGGGGTGAGAGGGAGGAGGGGGGGGAGGGCATGGTTTTTATTTTTTTTCCCGTTCCCTTCATAATATCTGGTAGCCCAGCAAGCGAAAGCTCTTCTTCTTTCCCCTTCTCCTTCTCCTTCTTCTCCTGTCTCGTCAACTCTCTCCTCGAGCGTTCTATCGTATCGTCTTGTTGTCGCCGCGTTGTATCAATTCAATCAATCGATCAGTCGCAATAACGGTCCGAAGAAAGTTCCGGTCGATCAGTCAATCAAAATCCTCAACTCATCTGCCTCCTTTTTTCCTTACCAGGACAGAGAGGAAACATCGGTAATCCTCACGGCTTTGATATATATAAAGGAGAGGGAGACAAGATATTTAAGGGATCTTGGATTTTTGAAGGAAGGGCGTGGCTTTTAAAGTTATCTCAATAATCTCTGACGGTGTCGGGCAAAAAAAAAAATAACGCTCATAACCGAGCCCAACCATCTCCCCCCCCCCTAAAAAAAATTGGAGAGAGGAACCGTTTCAATTCTGTTCGGCGACCTTAAATTACTAACATCATTCTCACACCACCACCACACACACACTCACGCACCCACACACTGCCCGACCTTGCACCATTTTTTTTTTTGGTCGCCCAACCTCAGGCATTGAAAGTGAACGCCGACCACTGCGCTCGACCATCAGCAGCACAGCATACCCATCAGCAAGCAATAAACAAGCAGGAAAGAGCGAGTCTAAAACCCCTTACGGTAATCATAACTCACTTTCTTCTCCCCTTGACTTCTAAAAAAAAAAATCTGTTCATGTTTACCAACTGCCTATTAAGAATACACATCCCGCTCTGTCTTGTAACCCAATATTTGGGGAACCCTAACTATCTTACGCAATTCAAACTGCGAAAGGTTAATTTGGGAAAAAGTGTTCTATCATACTCGAGTAGAGGAACGAACGAAGAAGTGAAGAGGGACAGAGAACCGAGAGCAAGGGAGCCAAAAGGAGCTTAGTTTTTTTTTTTTGTTGTTGCCGTTCTTGTGGTGCCAAACTCGATTCGGTCACGATAGTGACGAGCTGAGCCAATTTTCTACCACACGGTCCAGCGAAACCGGGTCCAGAAAGGTCAAGGGCCAATTTTGTCCCTCCCGAGCCCGTCTCCGTTCACGTCCGCAGATCAAGGACCTCCACCACACAGCGTCTGCATACACCTACCTAAACTCTCCGTGCTTCAACCCTCCCCCCTCCACCCCATTTCTACCCAAGCACATTATATTCCATACCATACCGCATAGCCCCCCCCCTCTTTCTCACCCTCCCCATACCCCTTGTCTACGGTGGTCGGGATCACCTGTCACTTTGTAGGCGAAGCTGCATATTCAGCCTTACGCCGTATCCGAAAAGACCCTCCCCCCTTCTCACAAAACCTTCTTTCCTTCCAATCCGAACTCCTGCCCCCCCACCCCACCGAGCTTCCCTGAAAGTCGCCGAAATGGCCCTCCCCCCCAATACCCATGACTCTTACGCCCCTTACGATATTGTCACTGGGGCTCCTGTTGCAGATGCGAATGGAAGACATCTTTCTTACTCGTCTTCTTCCGATACGGGTGGTAGCAATAGCGCTACAGACGGCTACTCATCGGCGACGAGTAGCGGTTATGTCGATTACGGGCCTGCAGGATATCATCAAGGTCATGTCCAACAGCACGGGGGCATGCCCCCAGTGCAACAGCCATATGTAACCCACCATCAACAGCCATTCAGTAGCCCTCCCCAACCCCATCAGACGGGGGCAGCACCCTACGAACACACCGACATCTATGCCGCCGGAATGCCACCGCAGCTTCAACACCATCAGCAAATACAGCAACACCAGCATCATCAGATATCGCCCACATCCATGAATACGCCGATCCCCCAGGCGCTACCTTCTGATGCAGTGCCTGATCGTGGTCACAGCAATGGCGCAGCGGGTCCAGAGAACCAGCAGCAGCAGCAGCAGCTGAAGCAGCAGAATTCGGGTCAACAGTATCAACGTATCGCTCGATTCGTTGGACCTCCTCCGGTTGCCAATGCCTGCACTGAATGCAGGGCTCGTCATCTCAAATGTGACGCTGGAGTTCCATCCTGTGGACGGTGCCTCGCCGATAGGCGTGAGTGCTCGTATGTGAAGTCTCGTCGTGGATGGAAAGGATCGAGAAGACAAAAGGTGGCCGCAGCCGCAGCCGCCGCAGCCACTGAAAAGGAGAAGAATCCGCCCGACGATGGGTCGGACACAGGTGGACAGTCAAGCTCAGGTAAAGTTTCATCCCCCCCGAATGATAGGTGTTTTTTCTTTGGCTTTGGATTGTGTGGACTTGGCGCATTGAATTCTGTTATCCCCCGTCGATTGAGAGTTCTTGATTTGTTTCATTTTCCGTTATTTTTTTTTTTGGTGTTGTGGTTCTTTTTTTTTTGCTTGTTCCTGTTTTGTTTTTTCTCCCTCCCTCGGGGACTTGTTTTTCTTCGGGTACCGGGGCTCTGGGGCCCTTCAGCACGTTTCGGAGGTTACCGGGGCAAAGATGGGGGGTCCATATTAGGTTAGACGAATACCGGGCCCTCGGGGACTTAACTCAGGGAGGTGTGGTGGTCGCCGCCCAACGAACCACACCACCCGCACAAGCATGACCCATCACACACCACGCTTCCACCAACCATCCTCACACCAGAGACGAAAGGGGAGGATAGGAAAAATAAAAATCCCTGGATGAGAGGGAAGAAAAAGAAAAAGAAGGGAAAATCCTAGAACAAAATACGGAGTGCCCGGTTCTTGTGCCATTCGTTGTTCCTTCGTTCCCTAGAAAAGGTCAAGTCACGTCAAGACATTTTTCTAAGAGCCAAACGATGACGAACCTGAAACCATGTTGGTCAACGCTTATCCAGTAGCCTTGGCGCGTGTGGTTCGGCGACCATCTCCTGGTCCAAGCTTACCCATCCCGCTGGCTCAGACATTTTGGGCGGCGACTCAACACCCTTCACCAAAAACCTTTAGGCTGGTGAGGGTCCCTTCCTAGTGGGCTATCCAATTCATCCTGTCATTTGCCGTGTTTTGGTGTGTTTGGTGTGTCTGTACTCGAGTATGTGCCTGGTCGCCATGGTTTTTCTTTTCCCAGGTCCGATGTCTTCCTCCCACTCTGTATCTCCGGTCATAATATCTTGTCCTTCGTGACCCTTTGATGCTTATCCGACTGAGTTGAGACATCCCCGAGTCGCCTTGAACGAAAGAGAAACAGGACTACTGTACTGTCTGGTTTTGTTCTTAGCCTTCCCTACTTTTACGAATTACGTTCTCTCACCTTGTCATCGTCATCGGTTGTGATACCATTTCCACCACCGTTGATTGGGATCGCATGTTTCTCCTAAGGCCTTTCTTTTTGCTTTTGCTCCTATTCTTGTCTTATTTTCCATTTTTATTACATTTTACTCGTATCTTCGCTGCATCCAGTTGCCTCGACTCGGCAATCTTGGTACTGTTTTGTTGGCTTGCATTTTGGGCACGAGATCTCGTTCGGGATCTACGACTTGCTGCACTTTGATCTTGTCTTCAATCGAGGTTGCCATTTGTCCTCTGCGGTTTCGGTGGGGGAGGAAGAGGGGCCTGCGAGATTACGGGGTTCTCGTTCATTTGTTAGGTGCCCTTGTTTCACTTGACCAGCCCCGGGAACCAAGGTCCTGCCCATCGGCGAAGTTTCGAATCGACCACGGTCCACGGCGTCGGGGCCATTTTAATCCTTTGTCGGCGTCCTCGGTTCCCCCGCCTTAAGTTCGTACACGACAGCCGCCTTACAACGCACTACTCTACCACACTACCACATTACCCCCCATCCTCCAACCTTACCACGGTTATATTTAATCACGAACCTTCTTTTCTTTCTTTTTTATATATACCTTGGTGGATTTCGTTTTTTTTAGATTTTTATTTTTCATCGTTTAATTCTGTAGACTTTGATTCTTGCTGTCACAGATCATCACTCACGCATACTCTCACGATACCATTGCATTTTTCTCTTTTCTTCTCTACATAATCCAAATGGCGAAAACAATGATGGGTTGGTCGCTTCATAATTCTAACACATGGTCGAAACCTTTAGCACCTCCACCACCTTCAGCAGCGGGGGCTACATGCTCAGCGTATTCGAAGAGTGCTTCGCCTCGGGGGCATCCTTCTTCATCCCCCGTTAACCAGAAGCCGAATGGCTCTAGGGACAACCCGTTGGAGACCCTTCGAGCACACTACAACGGCAACACGTTGTTCCGCTCGCCACAGGAGCCCCAGACTATGATTCCGCTGACGGCAAACTTGATGCAATTGTACTATGCGTACTTCCACTCTGCACATCCGCTATGTCTCCCTCCTCAGTATCTTGCCAAAACCCTGCCCCAGCACTTGACTATCGTGCTGCCGGTGATGCGCTTCATTGCCTCGTTCTTTGCTAGAACGGCTCCCACAGAGACCTTCCGTGCGGAGGCTGAGGCGGCATTGTTCTCGCCCACTTCACCACCTCCGAAGAATGGGTTCACTGTGCAAGCGCTCACTTTGTTCGCCATTGGTCTTCACAGTGATAACGACCAAGAGAGGTGTGCCGAGGTTAAGGACAAGGCTATCGAGATGGCCCTCGATCTTAGAATGAACTTGAGGGAGTTTTCGGAGAGCTCCACGGATAATACTGAGGGCGGTAAGGTACTTGCCGAGTGCTGGAGGCGAACGTGGTGGGAGTTGTACTTTCTCGATGGGCTCCTTGCTGGGTTCCATCAGAAAGACCACTTCAAGCTTTGGAGTGTGCCTTGCACAGTTCCTTTGCCGTGCGAAGAGCTTGACTACGGCCGCGGGGTATGTACCGCTCTGTTTTATGATGGTATCAAAATAGGAGACTGACGAGCTGTAGGTAATCCCGGAACCACACTCCCTCAATCAATTCGACGACCGCTACTTTGCCGCTGGGCAAACTGCCTTCAGCTCCTTCGCTTATCGCATCGATGCTGTCCGCATCCTCGGCCAGGTCCTTGCCGTGGGACAAAACAGCAACCCTGAAGACCAGATGGCTGACGCAGCCGATACATCGCTCGTAAACTGGGGCCTCCACCTCCCGGACTGTAAAAAGGAACTCGTCGGAAAGGACCGCCGTGTAGATGAGATGCTCTTCCAGGCACACATGGTGATCAACGCGTCAACGATCTACCTTCACAGACCAAAGTCCTCCTTGGCCTCCTCCCTAGTGCCAGACGACACGAGCTGCACCCCGGAGTCCAAGTACTCCACTGCTACGAAGCCCATCGCTCTGCACACGGCAAAGGCGATTCAGGCCGCTAACACCATCTCGAAGCTCATCACCCTTCCGTGCCCTCTCATTAAGCACACCCCCTTCTTCACCTGCGTTATTACCCTCGCCGCGATCGTGCACTTGTCCGCTTGCTCTTGGCTCCTCCACGGCGACGAGGGCTTCCTTGCAAAGGAGCGGATCCGCCTCGGCGTCGGTGCTTTGAAGACACTAGAGGAAGTGTGGAACGTCGCTGGATGCGTGCTCATGCAGGTCAAAGGCGTCGCCAGAGAGGTCTTTTCTCTCCAGGTACCCGAGGGCGAGCAGTTCACGGGGATTATCACCGAGGAGGAAGTGTACAAGTACATTGAAGAGGAGAGAACGCTGGAGATTGTTGGTGGGGATGCGGATTACCATGGCTTGCCATCCTTGGATTGGAACGGGCAGATGTAGCCCACCCCGCAAGAGGAAAAGGTCTGATTGCGCTTTGTTGGAAATGGTTTGGGGCGTTCGATATTTTCATATATATATTCGTTCATGTATTGTGTGATTGTTGTGCTTTTTTCTTTTTCTTTTTATTGCCCATTCATTTGACTTTCGTTTGTTTAATTTGTTAGTTTGTTTGCTTGTTTGACAACGTGGGATCATGAGTTTCCTCTTTTCTTAGTCGGTTTAGTCTAGCCTAGCCTTGTTTGGTTAGAGTACGCGCAGTTCCGTTTAGTTCTAGTCGTTGAGTTTTGGACTGGAATTGAAGTTTTTTTTTTTTTTCCTTTACAATCCATCTTACTCGAGTATTTTACTCGTGCCTATCGGAATATATGGTTGTTACCGTATCCAGGTTTACGGATTGAGAATGAATACTGGACTTATGAATAGTAATCGCCATAGTGCCTGCTTTTACGGCCTAGGAAGTTGAATGCAGGAGTCGCTAAGTATTTCTTGTTTGGGGGGTTGGTGGGGGTTGGTGCATTGAGTGTCACTCGTGAGTCGGGATGTGATGTGGGGGGTGTATCATAGAACACATACTGTTATGATTGTTGGTGTTCCTAGATCTCTGGACGTGGAATCGTGCCGCACCGTATCTTGAGCATTGTATTCATGAGTGATGTCTCCTGACGATTACGACCACTAGCTCCTATAAATCAGTGCTACTCTGGTCTATATGTATCATTACACCTACACACAATGTCACCCGAATACCGATACTGGACAGATTGTAACATCTACATTTTCCCAATTTCCACCCTACGGTAGATTCACACACGCCCACGGAACTCCAATCACTACAGGAGACAAAAAGTCTTGGTGAAACAGGGGCTCTCTCCTCGCGTCTTGAACGGGCCCCTCTCCCCTACTTGCGCCACAAATCGCGTAATACCCCCCCCCCATAGCATAGTATCGTACGAGTACTTTACGAGCACTCGCAGTAGCACCGCAATCTCCGGTGTTGGGAAATTTCATTTGACCGAGACTTTTCTTTGTCCACTGATTGCATTGTACCAAGGTGGGATGAATTGTGGTGCTCGGCGACTATTTTGCGGCACGAATCGTGTTTCCTTGGTTGGCTGGTGGGTTGGTGGTATCATACCTGTTATTGCAGTGGCTTGCCTACTTACATACCCGGAATACCCGTGCAAGGGATATAAATGCGGAGTTCCTCTCCTGTCTGGCGGGCACATGGCATTGGGGTACTGTACAGTACGTGTCTGCTAGGGCCCTCTCTCAGAACCTTCCACACTTGACGGGTACGTCAATGATCGAGACGGAGCAGAGTTCCAAAGCTGCACCTTCTGTAACTTCAAGGTCTCTGGCGGACCACTTATCTCTTGCATCCATGGCGCTTCGGGAGTATCTTACTAGTATACTATTAGATCACGAACAATCACTCCGTCCACGGGACCTGTTTGCCCGGGCAGGATAGGGGAGAAATGTGGAAAAAGATACATGGAGTGTAGAGAATGGGAGCTGTAGTAAAGTCTACCGGTTTTTGTGAACTTTTATCCCCGGGACTCGAGCTTTTGTGTCGCTGAGAGTGATGAATGGCGGATCCGCATGGTGTGAAAGGACAGACGGAGCACAGTACGCTAAGAAGGAGTCGTGACATCCGAGTTTTAAAACCGAGGACAGTTCCCTGGACTGGATTATCGTAGGTTGGGAATATTGCATCGTGGTACCCCCCCTTTACGTTGTGGTTTATTTATCAAAGGACTGGCACCTGGGAGCTTTGGGCCTTACATGCGCAACCAGCGCGACCTACTTCCAAAAGCTTTCCTGAGCAGCATTTCGTAACAGATGAGTTATCCTTGTTGTGATAATTTCTCTGAGCACCCAGAGATCTTGTTGGTAATCGGTGGTGAATGTCTTGACCACCACGCCCCAACTCTCTAGCCAAAATACCCCATCGGAAACCGTATTTCTTTTAACGTATTTATTTATCCCCCGCAAGACAATTCTCCCGAACTGTGAATTCTAGTTATTCCTTACGATATTCCGGTCCATTTTGTCCATTTTTGATCTCCCAAGCCTTGCTAACATGGGAGTTAGGACAAGGACACTTGATCCCAGGACCTTCGACAATCAGTGGTATTTCCCTAGCGCGGAGGGTACTTTCTAAGACTTTTCTGTAAGGCTGTTGCCTACTGAGTGTGATGCCCTCGGCATCCCTAGAGAGTATCATACTAATTTATGCATATCGTGTGCGTGGCGATACAGTGCATGTTCAGGGGTTTTATATTTGTCCACAAAGTGTGGAGAAATATAAAACCCCTGAACAAAGAGAGCTGACTAACTGGTGACTGCCTTAAGAAGTATATAGTGGTGGGTTGAGTTCACACAGGGGTTTTACGGTATCATAGCTGTGACAGTTACTCTCTTACTCTGACTATATCATCTAATCAGAGCCAAGCTAACATTGATTGAGGGCTTATATAAATACGCTTGGACACATATCTTATCATAAACCTTTCTAATAGTACTAGTACTGTTTAACGAAACCAAATATTCAGAGTTTGTATGAGGGGTTCCTTAATTAACTGTGTTATGATTATCAGAAAAGGATACTTGTTATGATTCTAAATCTATAGTGTTGAAAACATGTGTATTTTCAATCAGGAGGAAAAATGGTTGAGACAAAGCACATTTTTTTTATAACCAGAAGTGAACTTGCTTGACTCCTTTATAATATTGTATATGTATTTGCAATGATGATTAAGTGAGTAAAGGAGGAAGTAGTGAGAAAAGTAAATAATATTATATTAGAACATGACTTCCATTATCAGACATATTTTACATCTTAGATTTTCAAATCAGTACCATATTACTACTTGCTATTTTCTGAAAATAAACAATCAGGATAAATGTAGCTGTTGTAAAGTAAATCTATGTTATAGAAAATAACATAGATTTACAGTACTGTGGCTTCTCTTTTGAGATTTATATTATTATGCAATCATTACAGATTACCAAATGGTAATGTATGAAAGCAAGTGGCTTTCTCCTATCTATACTAGAATATGTCCTTCCACCTGCTTACCTGTATTTTTCCTTCCTACCAGTACTTTGTTGTATAAAATGTCAGTTGTAGTATTATATGGTGTTGGTAGAGTAATGTATGTGGTATTGTATGTGGTATTGTGCAGTATTGTAAATGAGAAATGAAAGAGTGAAAGAAGTTGATGGGAAAAGAAGAGAAGGAGGGGGGGGTGATGGACCCCTTTATATAAACCTCCCTCAGAAATGCCAAGCCAGGTATCATATATTATAGATATGTCCCGAGACCGCACTATATATAAACCCTACCCTCACCTAACTCGTTTACTATCGATTTCGGAATTCTTTTCCCAATGGTTTCCCGCGCTTTTTTTTTTTTTTTTTCTTCTTCTTCACTCAACATATAACTTCTGTGAACTAACCTCCTGCTACAGAGAAAGAGGGAGAAAGAAGAAAAGTTGAGAAAGTCAAACTAATTGAACTGATGTTTTTAAACCTACTTGCGCTCGAACATTAAGATCTGAGGTTGATATTAGAAGCCTTTTTCATGCTCCCCGGCTAAAAGTGCCTGGTAGGTTCACTTGATAGTATCGTATCGTATGATAACTTATCATATCATACCACCAACTTCCTATTCGAACCCTACGTGTGCTCGAGTGAGCTTTCATGACTTATCACATAACTTTTGACCACATACGGTAGTACGAGTGCATACTCGGGTGCCGATCATAGCAGAGCAGGGCATGCAACGGGATGATAAACGAAGGTGCACCCACCTAGCAACCACACAGCACATCTATTCTTGAAGGTGGTTGAGTGTTCCAGATAGTTTTTGAGTGTGGGCTGGTGGTGATTATCAGGACTAGCATTTCCCTCGCGATGACGGCTGGAGCTGTGGATAACAAGAGGGTCATCGTCCCCGAAGCGCAGGGGTGCTTAAATGTGGGATGGTGTTGGGGAGGGGGTGGATTCGGGGCGTCTTAGTACCTGCGATTACGCAAGGGTGGGTTCTTACATCCTGAGCCTTGGTTTCTGGTCGTTCATATTGAAGGTCTGACCTCATGCTCCTCTCATGGGGCCTTATCCGCGATGTATGCTATAGTCGTAAGAGAGTGGTGGGATCACGGGGGTCCACATCATCTCACGAGCCCCCATAAAACGCCGTCATGCGCCACATCATAGAGAACCACACCACACAAAAACCTATGTTTCGTTCAACAACACTACCACCCTTCACCTAACCGGCCTTTCCGTTCCATTCAACCCAATACATATCCACTCACTCGCGCTCCCAACCAACTAGAATAAAAACAAAAAGAACTACAGAACTCACCGGGGCATCTCATCTCAAATGAACGCAAGAATGGAATCATACAGTAAACATAGAGGGAAAAGGAGAGAAAAGGAGAAAGACTCATGCAAAGCAAAGTCGGCTGATTTTGCTGCACGCCGCTGCCGCCACCCCAACAACAGAGACCGCTAAAGAAAGGTTGATGAGAGAACAAAATCGCAAACAAAAGGAAATTCCGCAAGCTAATGAGAGACCTTTGATATGGGCAAAAAGGCAAAAGACAAAAAAACACCTTCCTTTCATTTCTTAGTCAAGACGTTCGGTCGTAATCCGTTTATGCGTTCGAAACAAGTGAATTCACCGCCTGTGACAAATTAGCAATATTCTGATGGACGGCTGCGGGGGCCCTACCCGATCGAGGTTGTATCCGTGCTTTTCGAGCGCCTTTACCGAACTCTCTCTGTTAAATCCCATTCCGGTTAACTTGGTAACTTTTTCTTCCTCCCCAAGCTGGCCGCCGTCCCCACCACCGCCGAGAGCGACGCCACCAGCCTCGACATCGGGGCCCGTACCACTCTGTTGCCTTGCATCCCCAGACGCTTCACCTCCCACATTGCCGTTCGTCTGTGTTCTCGGGGGCTGGCCCTGAGCCGGCTCCTTTGTATCCAGGTCGGCAAATATCGCATCCCAATCCTGTGAACTCGCCGTTTTCACCTCTTGTTGTTGCTGTTGCCCAGCAGGTGAGTCAATGTTGAAGTCAAAGTCGGTAAATCCGTCGTCCGTAACCGCAGTTCCAGGTGCTACATTACCCCTAGGCGACGCTACATCAAACACTGGATCAAAATCACCGAATGCCGAGTTAGTTCCAAAGTCGTTTTCGTCAGCCTTATCATCGGCTTCCTTAGCTTCTGCAAGATCTCCAAACTCCTTATCAAAGTCGTCCCCGAAAGCAGTCTTTGCTGGCACAGGCGGGTTTCCAGCAGGCGCGGGACTCTTGGAAGCTATTGGAGGTGAAGAGAACATGCTATTATTTTGAGCACTGGGTGGGAGATTCTTGTTGGTTGATGAAGGAGAAGAGAATAGAGAACTGCCCTGGCCAAATACATCGGCATTTGAATTTCCTGTAACAGCTGGTGGTTGATTTAAGGCTGAAAAACTAATAGCGTTACTACCGCCACCAGGAGTGCTCCCCTCGTGTTTCATTGCATCGGATCTTGAAGGCAAAAGTCCGCTGTATTCAGCCGGAAAGTTTCCCTTCTCCATTCCTCCCATAGGCTTTGATCCTGGAATGTAAGAAGGAGGTGACTGCTGAGCCGATATTGGAGGTGGTGGTGCATTTCCAGGTCCAGTTGGTGCAGGACTGGTGGTTGGAGGAGGCGCTGTAGTGGCTGGTTGTGAGTGGCTGGGTGGGGGATTGGGGTTGAAATTGTCCTCAAACCCCTTCTCATTGTCACTGTCGCTATCCTCATCACGACCAACTTCCACGATGGGTGGGAACTCCTTGTTAAACTGGACGGAGCTTATCCCAGAACCGCCAGTGTGTTGTCGCTCTTGGGTCCTGAGATTCTTGAATGCATCATCAATGCCGGAACCTCCAGTGTGTTGCTTTTCCTGACTTCTAAGGTTCTTGAAGGCTTCATCAAAATCCTTGTTGCGGTCTTCCTTAGCGCCAGAGTTGTACATCGGCTGGAAATCAGATCTACTCATCTGACTGGTCCTGCTCCGGTTGCTTTTGACACTCTCACCGGTTGGATTCGGTTTGATGGGTGAGGGGAAAGCTCCCGGAATGGTCCCACTTGTTCCATATCCTGATCCAAAAGAATCCCACTGTTTCCCCGGTTGGCTCTGCTCGTCCCCCCCGGTTGTGTTTCCGGTGGTATTGCGCTCAACAGGGGCACCAAATGGAGATCTATCATCAATTTTCCTGGATGGGAAGGGGGCCTTGGCAGAAGACTCTGTACCGGTATCGCTTCGGACGCTCATGCTGCTTCTTCTGTCATCTGGCTTGACGAACGAGTCTCTCTCTTTTGCCGGGGTTTCGCTAATGGAGCTACTGGCCCAGTTGGTTGGTGTATCAGGTCGAGGGAATTCGTGGTCGCCCTGGTTACTAACCGATGGGTTGACTTGCACAGATGAAGTGACCGAGTCGGCACGGCTAACGGGCACGGGCAAAAACGGTGCCATATGGGATGCAGCCCCAGGAGGCGCAGCGTCCGTCTGAGGGGAGTTGTGGTAGGACGTCGGCGGAGATGTAGGAGGTGTTGAGTGCGGGGGCCCTTCAGAGGCCGATGGCACGGATGGCCCAGCGCTGCCCTCGGTCGTGGATCTCTGGGAAAAGCCGGTAGAAGTGGGGTTAAGAGAGGGCGTTGCGGAAAAAGAGGGGCCGAACACATCCTCCAAAGTTGTAGCATGCGCCGGTGGGTTGTTGCCAGGAGCAAATGGTGATGGCGGGAATGCAGATTCGGGAGCGGCAGGCGGCCTTCGGTGGAAAGGGTTGTTATTGAGGCTAGCTTGAGAAGGTGTGGGGCTGCTAGGAGGAGGAGGACTGGCAACATTTGACCTTGAGTCATCAATCTCACTCTTTAATCGTTCACGCTCAATTTCACCAGTGGAGACCTGTTTCTTGTTGATAGCAACCATTCCTCTCTGTTGCCTAGCTTGAGGTTGCAGCTTCTCAAGCTCTTGACGCAGATTAAGGTTTTCCTGGTTGATCATCCTCATGCGCTGGTTCAAGTTCTCATTTTCCCGTCTGTCAGACTCGAGGGCCGAGGATATCTCCTGCTTTCTAGACTGAAGCTCCGTGTACGATTGCTCAACAGTACGATATTCGCCCCTCAGAGTCATCATCTCGTTCTTTGAATTAGCCAACTGATCTTCTGCCTGCTTCAACTGTTCTGCCTCGCGTTCGTAAGCAGCCCTAAGTAATGTCAACTGTCCCTCAATGTGATGCTTCTGAGAGCTCAATGTGGTTAACTCTTGTTCCGCCGAAGACTTCTTGATCTTGAGCTCTTGAGTCTGCTTGGTTAGAGTACCAATTTGATTTGACAAATTGGCCAATTCCGTAGTCTCGTTAGAGAACTTTTTAGTGATTTCGGGATCAGCATCACCAAGCAGATCTTCCACCATTGATTGTGTCTGACGAGTCGCCGGTGGCGCAGAGTGATTTGATCCCCCAGTTCCCGAAGGAGAAATCATCGACTGCCCAAAGTTTGAGGATGGCACGAAGGCACGGCTTGGCCCGAAGAAATTTGGGGGCCCTTGCGGTACTGGCAACTTGGGCTCAGGGACAGGACCCGAGGCATTTGGCGAAATTGTCGGCCTGTTTGGCACTCCAAAGACATCTGTATCAAAAGGACTAAGTGGGCTCTGGTTCTGAGAAGATGGGGGCGCCGAGCTTGTTTGTGGGGCCGAAGACGAAAAATCCAATTCAAACAAGTCTTGTGAGGCCGGCTTGGGGGGTGGCGGGGGAGCAGGTGGGGGGGGGGACTCAAACGTAGCTGCATGCACGTTAGCGAGTGGTCAACGATAAATGAAGGAAATGTGAATTATACATGGACCTGAGAACTGCCCTGGCGCACGCATGCTAGGAGGAATTAGATTCGGAGGAAGGACCTCTGGCAGAGGACCGCTGCCATCGGGAAAGTTGCGCTGCTCCCGAATTAGATGCATAGCGATGGCAAACTCCTCGCGACTCAAGCGCCCGGACCCATTAGTATCAGCAAGATCCCAAATGCCGGCAAGAACATCCTCCGGAAGCCTAGAGTTTGAGAAAAACGGCACCGCCTCCTCACCTAGTACTCGGATTAGAGATGCGTATCGGTGAATGACTTGAGCACGGTACTTACCAGTAATGTATCCCTTGTTCTGCTTATCGACTGTCAAGAAGACCGAGTCAAATCGCTCCTTATCGGCAGGCGTGATGACCCATTCCCCAGCAGCTTCCAGTTGGCCAGGTTGTGTCACAGGGGGGGTGAATGTCCGGGGCGATTGCGCGCGACCTTGTTGCAAAGGTCCACTATACTGTTGGGGAATTGGAGGAACGGGAGGCATAGGTGGGGGTGGAATGCCCCTTCCTGCTGGCCTTCGATCGCCATTCCTTGTGGGACCACGCCCTGCAGCAGCCTCATAGAGTCCAGGGGGTAGAATCTGGGGTAATACAGGGAGAGTGCCATTCTTTGAACACGTGATAAGGTGCATGGCTACTACGAACTCTGCAGGACCTAAAGCACCGCGATGCTGCCGATCCGCAAGGTTCCATATTATACCCAAGGTCTGATTCGGAAGCTTAGCACGCTGAAATATCCCCTTTGCAATATCGCCTGGTTACAAAACGGTGAGCCCCGAACAGCCAAAGTAGACAATAGTTGGATCAATTCATTACCTGGTAGGCAGCCATCGATAGCCCCAGATCGTTCAAACAACCCCGTAAACTTTTCCACGTCCTGAGGTGTGAGTGGCGGTACTCGGATCATCCCGGGGCCCGGGATTGCCGGCTGGGAAACAGGCGGCGGTGGTGGGGGAGGAGATGATGTAGTGGGAGGAGGAAGTAACGGGGTATTGAAGCCCTCAAATCTAGGAAGCGGGCCAGCTAAAGTAGTCGATTATAACAAGTCAATATATGGAACCCAGTTACGACTGCCTCGGCGAAAATAGGAACTCCTCACGATTCTGTGCCAATTCGGGTCGAGGGTGCTGCCCATTCTGTGCGTACCCGATCAATCTCAGCGCGACACTGAATCCAACCTTTGTGAGCAGCCCTCGATTATCGGTATCCGCAATGCCCCAAATCTAAGGGCATATCAGTACAAAAGCTCGAATACGAGGCCGTGGGGAGGGAGGAGAATTAACAAACCTCTCCCAAAATCCTCGGATTAAGTCCGGACTTTTCAAAAAACTTTACAGCGAGCTCTCCCGTTACAACACCAAGTTTGTCGCTATCAGCGGCCTGGAAAAGTTGCCCGAAGGCCTTCTTCTCCTCTGGTGTAAGCACAAGACTGTGGGGGCCCGATGCTATTGGTCCGAATCAGTCACAGAACTTGAACAAGAGCACAAAGATATTTATTTGCAAGATCATTTACCGGACTCTGATGTGCTATCCCTCTCACTCATGTTTTGAGGTATGTTTAGATAACGATGGTGGATGAATAGTTGATAGAGGAGCTATGGGGGAGAGGTTGTGATGGAAAATAGAGATGAGAAGGCGACGGATGGGACGCGCAATCAGATGTATTGATGGTGGGGTATTATTATTAGGTGGGGAATTAGGAGAGGGAAGGATGGGGGGGGCGGGCGAAAGGCAAGGGCAAAGAGGAACAGCAAAGCAAACAGGGAAATATCGAAAATACAAAATGTCGATGAATCGAGAGAGAGAGAGAGGAAGTTAGAAGGACGAACGGTGGGGTTGTGGGAAGACTTGGAAGCTTTCAAGGGGGAACGGGCTGGAGTTTGTGGGCGAGATTTGTGGTTGCAGAGAGAACCAACTGCCTCAGAGGGACTACGAAAACCGACGACGATGATGATGATGGATTGGAGTGAATGAATATGAATGACTACCTCTCGACTATGGATAGTATGTGTTGGAGGGCGGCGGCTGGAGATTGAATGTGGGCGTGCGTGCAGCGCAGCACAAACATACAGTAGCACACAACTGGGCAAGTCTGAGGGGAGAGGGGGAAGGATTGGTCGCTAGCAGCAACCGAGAGCATCAAAATTCAATGGCTGCGAGAGGTGTGGAGAAAGAGGGAGAAGGTAACTTCGCACCACTCAATTGGCTTCTCAAAACCGTTCAGCTGGCCATCCTGACCTTTTTTTTTTTTAAAGCCGCCACTCACCCAGTCCCTCCGAGCTGCGAGAAGTAAGGTAGACTATCGCCCTTCCACCACACTCAGTTTTGCACACCGGTACTCGAGGAGTCCATTCGAGCGAGCGAGGCCTGTCATCCCAGTGGACACAACGAATCCGCAGAAAACACTCGCTCGTGGTTATGGGGAAACACGTGCCACACACCCCCGCCTCTCCATCTTTACTGGGCTGGGCACCGCGCCCGAGTAGTCCAGCACAACCATGCTTCTGGATTCTAGCCTCCTCCATAATAATTTGCTCCCGGTGTGGCATAACTCAATGATCGATGTTTTCAAGGAATTTCCCTTTTCCCTAATGGAGCACTAAGAGCGAATTTATACGAGAATAGGGATAGCACCGTAACTGTGGTTCCAGCATGAGACTCAACTCACATACGCACGTTGCATCCATCCACCCTACCAGTTCGTGAAGGGATGGAAAATCACGGACCAGGATAACCCAAGTCATCCATCAGAAATCGGCGATATTTACTTGAAATAAATCTCTCCCCATTAGTGCTAACAATGACAGTCCTTCCTTGTACTCGTACAGCACACAAATATTCGATTGAGCGAAAGCTTGTGAACTCAGCCGGCACCAAAAGAAAAAGATGATACAGATAGCCATGCTATGAACACAGCACAAAAATTCGGTGCAACATTCACAATCCCTAATGAGAACCTCCTTCCGCTGCCTCTGTCCCGTCCGTCTCCACCACTCCCTTCATTGCTTCATTTTCATCTTCCACTGCGCTGGTGGGCTGGGCAGGCTGGGGTTCCTCCACTTCCGCCTCCATCTCTTTGGTCGTCTTTCTCTTCTTTCGCGGGGAAGCCCCGGCCTTCTTCTCCTTGGGCGGTTTCTTCCCTTTGGGTACTTTATCCTCCTTAGAAGCCTTTTCACCCGGTGCCGAAGACTTTGCTGCCGCGCCCACTGGATTCGCATTACTCAAGCGAACCCACCTCTTCGATCTGAGGAATAGGTGTTAGCAGCTATTCTCCGGATTCGGGAGGCGAGCGCATACGCGGCCTGTGTGTTGAGAATGCCTCTTTCCTCACATACGGCTTTCCAATTTGTCTATCGCGCGTCAGCATCAGCCGCATGCCATGGGCATGAGGGAAGCGAAGGGAAGGATGTATACTTTACCGTCTCCGGTGTTCCGAACACATGATATGAGAAAGAGGACTTTTTCTTCTTCTGAGGTAGGCGGCATCGGTGCGGACGTGAGGGGGGGACTGGGGTGATCGCGGGTGTATTTGTGGCGAGAGGTAGGTCTGTCCCTTTGGATATGAGGACTCTTGTCGGTGCGATATATACCACATTAAGGGATCAACGAAGCCGCCCAACAATTTTGTGCCAGTCCCTTTATGGGCGTGCGCGTCATCGCATTTAGTTGTCTTTAATCGCTAGTCCACTGCCGGTATATCCCCATACCAGCTATTGTCGCCCCTCTCGACTAGAATTGAGCATTGGCGGAGGATTTCTACCAGCGGTCCTCCAGAGCTATGGTACCAGGCGCTCGCGCCCATATGTGAGCTCTATCACAGCTCCACCCCATCCATTGTCGTATAATGGAGCAGTGTACGGTACGAGTTCCAGTGCCTGTACAAACGGCCACTCCCTAGAGCAACCATGGATCACTTTTCGATATCAGGTGACGAGCCGAACCTTGCACAGCAGACTACCGGTACGAGTATTCTTGTTGGGGCCGCCGTACCTGTGCATAGTACTCGTACACCTGCTGGGACACTCGGAACAGTGCTTCCTCGAATCGCCATTTGATATCGTTATACATCCGCTACGCCCGGGTTTAACGCACGATAGGGGCACGGGCGCCATTCAATACCAGAAGCCCAGGTTACATGTACTGTACATTACGGGTACAAGCTATCGCAGGAAACCACGTACGGCACCGTACAGTATCCGACTTGTACCTTCCAAGGCGCAGGGTCTACATGGAGTGGAAACCAACCCTAAGATAAGAGCCTCAGGGAACAACTCTCGACCCCACCATCTCGCACGGGGTGTCCCGGAGTCTGAGCGTGTTGTATCCTGTGACGTATGCTGCCTTTTGGGTGGGACATGGTGATGTATCAAAACTCGAGCACAAATAATCTTTGACCATCACAGCCTCTGTACAATCGGATATCACAGCCCCGCCCCTTCCATGTCTGACGATCGCATACCCCTTAAAACCTACTAATATATTGTGTGTGCGAGCCAAATAACGAGAAACAAAACAAAAAAATTATTCACCAGAAACCCTTGAAAAGAATACTAAGATACAAGCGCCAGGGATAGATAATGTTTTCGCACAGTTAATTTAGGTTAACCCGCCAAATAATCCCTGTCCTGTACGAAAACACCTCCCCTCGCACTTGTATAGCCGGAAGCATTATCAAACACGAAAGCAGAGAACACTCCTCCCCATAGTCTGCCACTCACTACTTCCAAACCCACCTCTCATCATCCACCGGCTCATCCTTGATCACCACAACCCCCTTCTCAACCGCCTTCTCCGGCAGCGCCCTCTCTACAACCACCAGCGGTGTCGGCAACCCACCCAAAACCCCAAAACAACCATCAAACCTCGTTCCTTCAAACCCATTCCTAGTACTAGTGCTGGCACAGCAATATTCCGCCCCCCGAAACCCACTGAACCCTCCTCCCCCCCCCTCCTCCCCGCTCTTCCTCCTCCTATCATTCCTCCCGGCACCACCATCATCCTCCCCATCTGACTCGCTCTTGATGAATATCGCTTCTTCAGTATCACCCTCTAGCTTAATCACCCTGCTGCCATCCCCCTCGATACGTTCCTGCTTAATCTCACACCCCGCAGCATCGCTCCCGCCGCCGCTATCTTCATCTTCATCTTCATCTCCATCCTCCCCATCATCATCATCATCAGAGTAAATAACCTTCCTTTTATGAAGTCTCGGTTTCCTTCTGATGGAACCCCGGGCACTGGAGTTGCCGTTTCTGGGAGAGGAAGCGCCGAGATCTAACCCGCGGCGGAAACGGTAGTAACTGTCTGCGGCGCTACGCACGTTCTTGTACCCGAGCTTGTCGGCGAGTTTTTGAAAGTCCACCTGTCTGTCTTGTTAGCTGAGAGGAGAAAGGATGGGGGGGAGCTGGGTAAGGGGAGAGAGAGAAGAGGGAGGGAAGACTTTGACTTGGCCGACTTGACAGTCAAGGATCGCGAGGAGGAATTGGACTTTTCTGTCGCTCTTGAAGTACATTTTTGTAGAATTGGTGTGGTTGGGTGTGCTTGATAGTTGGTTAATTAATTAGACACAAAATCCAAAATCGAAAATTATGATAGAAAGGATGGAAATACAGTACATACCCCAAAATTCTCACCACCATTCACCCATCCAAACTACTCACATCCAAGCAATAGACAGGGCACACAACCACCTATATATACCCCACCATACCCAACCAAAATGCACTTGTCCACCTGCACCCACCCACCCCACACCCTGCACAATGACCCTGCACTACAGTCTCAGACAGGACATAACAAGAGTATGCAAGTTGGGAAACAAACATATGTAGAAGACTTCCTTTGTCTGACATTTTCTGCTGCGGGGTTTGTGTGGAGAGTTGTATAGCAAGAGCGCAAGGGGAGGTGCTAGGAGGAGGAGGAGTGTGCACTGTGGATTGGAGGGTACAGTGGGGTGTGTGTTGGGGTCTAGGTGGCGAGCAGGGAGGGAGGAGGTTGAATGGGGTGGGAGGTAGGGCAGGGAAGGAGGGGGTGCTGTAGAGGGGAGGTATGGCATGGTGTTTGGGTCTGATCTAAGCAGGCTGGTACTACTCATGGTATGTAGGATATGATATCTTGAATCTGTTGTAGTGATATTTGGCATCACGAATTGTTACCATTTATGTCGTCAGGACCAGCCAAGTTGAAAAGCAGAAGACAATATCGGTTGACGGTCCGAGAAAGTAGAAAGCGATAATATCAAAGAAGGGCTATCTAAGTAAAGCAAACAGTCACTACGAATCCACACCCTGGAAACGATTCGACCGGGTTTAGAATTTCGTGGGTACGATAAATACGATAACCCACAAAGCAGGCATTTCTCCTATAGTTCAAAATCACAAAGCGGAGAGGTCCCGATTATCCTACACATGTTAGAAGCCTTCTAGTAAATCTGAGTAATTCACGTTCCGCTTTCCGGCGGAGATCACCAAAATATCATTACCATTTAGGTTTTAAAGGTTACCTCATAGGTATCACTCGGATTCGACAACACCAGAGCCAACTTCCGAACTTCCTGTAATCCAAATAAATATCTCCAGATGGCTACAAGACAGGACAAGATTATATAATATGGATACGCTAATACATACAACACTCCGCCTAACAAACTGACTACCCAGACCCTCCACCTAAAACAAAAACCTCCCACCACCCCCCTTCTCCCCCTCAATCTCTGTGTCCTCCTCCTCCTCCTCCACCCTACCACCACCCCTCCCCCTCCCCATCTCCAAAATCCTCGGGTCAATTCCCGCTTCCCCCGCCCCAGCAGCTTCTCCAAAATCCTCGCCAAAAGCCCTCTCCCCACGCCCCCCCTCCTCCCCTCCCATCGGTGCCATCACTATAGCCTTCCTCGGTCTACCACGCCCCCTCTTCTTGACGACCCCATTCTCCTCCACCACTACCTTCTTAACCTTCTCAACCTTCTCAACCTTCTTCGCCGGTGACGGGGGGAGCGGCGAACCCGGCGCGGCATCCGAGGCCTTCATGACAGCCCGCTTAATCTGGTAGAACCTTGCGTTTGCTACCGCGGCGGACTTGTAGTTCATCTTCCGGGCGAGTTTCTCGTAGTCGATCTATATACATATCCTTGTATTAACACTTCCGAAGGAGTGGGAAAGAGGGATTGGGGGGGGGGGGCAAGGGGAACTTTTGGAGAGCCTTCCATGCATTCTAGGACCGCTAGGAGGAAGTCTTCCTTCCCCGCACTGGTGGGCCCGCGGCGGCCGCGGGAAGGCTTTTGGGGGGTTGGAGGGGGGCTTGGTTGGGACATGGAGCTTTGTGGCGGAGAGGGATGAACGGATGGAAAGGGGGTGATAGTTGGTGACTGGTTGGTATAGTCGGTGAGCTTGGATTGAGGACCTAAGGTTTTGGGAAGGAATTTGGAGAGAGAGAATTGGAGGTGGATTATTGGACTATTCTTGGGGTTATATATTTTTCTCCAGCTCATTGGAACTTGGTGGTCCGGGGAGGGGGTTAGTATGTGAGTTGCCAGTTTGTGCGCTACGGACTCGATTTGGTTCCAATATATCGTAGTTCACTTTAATTCATATGATGACGCCCTTAGAAATTCTCCCTCCTAGCTCGTATATCTTTCTCTCCCTCCTTCTTCCTTTCCCTCCCTGCGTACCAGAACACGATAGACAAGATCAGCAGCAATGCAGGTACCACGCGTACCACTTCCCATCTAATGCGGCCAGTTACCCCGCAGTACAATCACGCACCATAAACTAGCGAGATATATACAGCTCCTCTGCCGAGTATCTTACATGTGCGGGTGCCCGCTGCGTACCGTACAATACCACGAAACTCTTTTGCATTTTAGGTTCGTACCATGTACAACCAGATTCGAACTTTTTCAATACCAGCGACGCACAGTCATGCTTTTCGACGATGGAGTCTATGCTCAAGTTACCCCCAGCCCCCCCAAGACATACCTTTCCCGGAATGGGTGAGTACCGGTTTGAGAAAAGTACCGGCTCGTATCATACTATCGGCTGTACAATGAGGACGAGTGGGATGGGAGTGTGCTCAATATAAGTAACTTGTTAGTACAGCAGTTGGCAACGCACCGTACAGGAGGGGAATCATGGCAGGAATATTGTTCCCCATTTTATCCCTCCTTGAGCGGGATTTCTTGACGGTCGATTGCTCGGACATGCACTGTACGTGCTAGGGGCGTGCGCGTGTGTATTTCAGTACTGTGCCAGGACATCACTGTCAGGCTTGGTGTTGTGCCGGTACCGTACAGTACTGTACTTATTATGTTTCAAGAGGCAACAATGCTGAACAATTCTGTCATGTCTTGAATCAAAGCCATAAATCGACCAACCAGAGCTCCTTCTCTGGGTTCCTCCTCGACACTGCACTCGTAATCCCCTGACGCTTGTGAACACGATTGCCATTGCATACTACCAAAATCTTGAGGCTCCAGACAATTCTTTGCCCATATGGAATGCAATAGCAACTGTGCTCACAAACGTCAAGGAATTCCGAGTAGTATAGTATTATAATCATGTCTCCCAATACAAACAATAAGTGATAAAAAGAGCAAAGGACAATCCCTCACCCAATCCCAAGTTCCGCCACCATTCAACCCATCTCAGCGCTGGAGACCCTTCTCAAACCCGCTACCCACCATCCCATTCCAGCATACCTTTCCCCGGCACAGCAAGGCATCACACCGCCAAGATTCCAGCGCAAGAAATAGCTCCCATTAAACCATCATTCAGATGCGCACCAGCGCATAAGAAACGTCGGGCTGTTTCAAGCATGATATCACGGGGGGAATCATGAAACCGATCAATGCCCACAACGATGCCCAACCGCTTTTCTAACTTACGTACGCTCGAGCACGCCAAAAAAAAAAAACCCGCCCGATGTCTCATTGGCACAAGCCGGATGGATACCAGAGCAACTGATCGGGATGTCGGCCGAGCATGTGACCGGCTGACTGGTCGGTCGGTGGCTGCACTTGGCTTGTGCGATGGGTAAAATTGGTTAATCGGTTGGTGATGGTGAATTGTGTGAGGTGTGTAAGGTTGTAATGTTTCCGGGGGGTGGCGATTGTATTGTATGGGATCGTGTGTCGGTAGGGGGAAGGCTTAAGGCGGTACTATACCGGTATTGTGGATGGGTTCGTTGTATGGATTGGACGGTGGGTTTTCTATTAGTGGCTACAACGGCAACTCGTGGCCACTGTCCAAAAACGATTAGTCTATCGGATAGAGCCCCCCCTCTAGACAAAGCGAACAAGGTATTATGGAGTTCGATTGGTATCGTTAGAATGTTTCTCTCTCAATTCTCTTGTGGGTGCAGTCGTTGAGATCGACTTCACATTGTGAGTGTGTGTGTGTTCTTGGCGCCCAGATAATGTCCTTAGAATAACAGTTCTGTAAGAGCACTCGAGTATGATAATTGTACTGTAATAGCAAACGGTAGTGGCGGGGTAAGCTCTAATGAACACAGTAGGGAAAGCTTGCCTCTAGTAAGTATATCATGAATTTAGAAGTCTTGCTCTGAGCACTGCTTATAATATTCTTTCGTTCCTTAATTGTGCTTGTACTGTACAGTACTGTACAGTCGGTCACTAAGCCTGCCGTACGACACCAAGTTACGCTATTTAGTACGTTAGTAGTAACGGGAGTTTCAGCACGGGATTGTATTAAGTAACCCAGGAAGTACAAGTACAGTACTGTGCTAGAACTGGAAACGGGTTTCCATTTCAGTTGCGGATCACATATCACAATTATCCCCGCTTGGTAAGTAAATCATCACCCATCATCATCACCAAACGATGGAAAATCCTTACTTATAGACTTCCACATGGTCATTCATTCCCAGTAAACCCTACTTACTTACCAGAACACAGCCAATACAAAGGAAGTATTGTTCATCTCATCTAATATTTTAGCATCTGGTGACGCCATTATCAAAAAATGAATACTCCTATCAATCACCAGCTAAAAAAATAAAAAAAAATAAAAAATCAGCCTCAATTGCTCACTCCCTCACTCATTCATTGAATACCCCAATACTACTAATCCTTAATCCTTAATCCCAACCTCACCCAATCCTCGCCCCAAACCCCTCACTACTCCTCCAATCCCCAATCTCGTTCAACACCTCCTTCGGAACACCACCCGCGTTATCCTCCCCCTCCTCCACACCCGCACCAAACGTAGTAGTAGAATCGACACACCTCTTCTTCCTCGGCGACCTCTTGACAGCCCTCCAGGGAGACTTGTCGGCGGCAAGGTTCTTCGTTGCTGTTGTGCCAAAGACTTCACTTGCGCCGCTCCTACCGTCGCCACTGCCCGGGGTATAGGGTGAGGAGGAGGAAGAAGGCGAGGGATCAGGCGCCGGCTTGAGTTGCCGGAACTTCCGGCGGATGTCGTAGAGCTTTTTATAAGCTGCTGAGGCGTTGCGAGTTAGAGCGGATTCTTTGGCTACCTCGTCGAAGTTTGTCTGTTCATGGGTTAGCGCACTGTTTTGACTAGGGAATTTGGTGGCGAACTTGCTTTTCCAGGATTATGTTCTATGCAGAGCAGTAGAAACTCGATTATTTCCTCGTTTGGGGTTACGGTTGGTGGCATTTTTTTGGTTGGATTATGTATCGTGTGTCGTGTGTCGTGAGGACCAATTGACAGATGCGAGAAAGGGGAATTGGAGAAATGACAGAAATCGTGGGAGAGAGCGCGGGGGGGGGGATTTGTATTATATTCTCTTTTTTTTTTTCCCCCCTTTTTTTTTTTTGCGGGACTATCCATACCCCAGATCACTATGGCAGGTTGCGGTTGTGTTGGGTAGTCTAAAGAATTGCTATTGTGTCGTGGAGGTTGAGCTTTGATGGCAGGACTGTTCATGGCTCATGATTCATGATTCTTCCAGGACAATCTATGACATACGGCCATCACCCTATCCTGCTGAATGGTTGTACAGAATCGATAACCGATTAAGTTAATCAACATATACCAGTACAGTACCGTACAATACCGGTAGCGTCCCATACAAGCACATGTCAGGCCGAGAGCCCCCGATAACCCGGGAATCCATGGGTTACAGTTATCACCGCATTACCTGTAGCCCATGATAATACTAAGGTATAACCATCTGCACGGAGCCACCACCCTGTGCTCGTACTCGTACAGTACGAGTACTCGAGTATAGTACGAGTACCTGGGCAAATGCAAAAGCCACTTTGTGACATAATTTCACATTACCCTTCCTTCAACCCGATCCAACCGACAGCGAAGCACCCTTCTTCCATTCCGGTAAACTACCGTCATCATTGTCCTGTTGGAAAATTTCAATCACGGGTTCCTTCCTGTACTGTGCACAACACGCAGGACCACCACCACCACCCAGTCAGGGCAGGGTTCACAAAGCAACATGTCCTGCTCGTATGAGCAGTGCATGTCTTGATCCGTGGCGCGATCTTCAATTATCCCCCTGATGAAGAAGTGGTTTTAATTGTTTGTCTTGTATCATGCTGCTGTCATACATAACTAAATTATACCCGAGAACCGGTATGTTGCAGTCCCGGGAAAAAAATAGGCTCTATAATTTATGTTTCGGAAGGGTTGTGTGGTGGTGGGTGAATGGAGGTGCTAGCCGGGTGGCTCCGAGAAATTCAAAAGTTATATATGGTAACCAAGTCCATGGGAGAGCATTGATCGATGTCTCTGATTCAGATTTACGATGGATTCAACAACGTTACAGTCGACCACTTGACAGGTAAGGGGCCGGGCCAATTGGTCAGTTGTAAGGCGAGCGAGGTTTGCCTCCGCTTATCCGCTTTGTTCTGTTGTTTCTTTTTTGCTTTTCTTGAGGTTTTTTTTATTTTTTTTATTTTTTTTATTTTTTTTATTTCCCTCTTTCCGTGGCTTGACTGTGAGAAATGAGGGGATGGTTCGTTGAAGAGAATTATATAGTATCCTTGCACTAAGTCTGAGTGTGTGCTCAGAGTGCTTTTGGTTCCGCAAAGACATGCACAAAACTAGGTACTATACTCTACTCTACCATAACAATAAATGAAATAAAGGAAACCATCGCCACACCAGTTGACCAGAAAGGGAAATAAAATCGTCCCATCAACTATCATAAAGGATATATGCCTGATTACAAAGAATTTACTGTAAATAAATGTCTATCAGGCCAACCATCAGGGGGCTAACACCTCCTCCGAATCTCCCCATCTCTTATTCCCCTTCCGTACGTGCTTCATTTGTCGTTGATTTCGACCTAAAAGGAGTACAGTATGTAAGGATATCAAAAAAATATAACATTATAACAGTACCCAGCACCGTAAGCTGTACACCCCAAAGAATGTTTCCACCCTTCTCACTCCCGTGCTAGGAGATCCCCCCCCCCAAAAAAAACCCCACCTCATTTTCCTTTCCAACCAACTCCCCCGCCCCCCCCCTAACGGTAACTGTTCTACCCCATCTTTGTCCTGCTCTAGCTCCTAGCTAGCGCTCCAGTCAGTCAGTCAGTTCAGTCACATGTCTTGCATTAAGGAAGAAAAGGTGGACAGCATCAAGCACGCCGTACCATTACTCGGGGATTCACAATCAGGGTTTTAAAATAAGGACTACTGAGAGAACGAACACAGGTGAATGAGCAGTGCCAGGGCGGATGGGGTGGTAGCGGGAACCACTAATCACCCTCCCTCCTCTTCCTCCTCCTCCCCTTCCCTCCCTCCCTTCCGAATTTTTTTTTTTTTTTTTCCCTTCTATGATTATACAGGCCTATCACACACCCTTCATTCACTCACTCACTCACTCACTGGATTGAATGAGCTTCTTCCTCATAAAATCGGGTGGAGGTCCCCCCTGTCTAGGCTAAACCCAATCTCTTTATCCAATCCAATCCTCTCATATAAAGTACGAGACTCTCTTCTCATACGCCACCGCACCAGAACTGTGCAAATAATAATAATAAAGTTCGATCACGCTGGCTGCGCCGCGCGCGTTATCATATATAAATCGAGGGAATCGGGGGATCTTCCGCCGATTCAACGATCCTCCCTGGATCCAAACGAACAGACGAAAAAAGCACAATTTGACTTGGTGTCAGCCATGGCATCTAGCGACGACTACAAATTCCTACTAAGCTGTTTGATGAACCATACTGGGAAGGTAAAGCTATTTCTTGCCCTCCTCCTCCTCCTCTTCTTCTTTCTCCCCCCCACCACCCCCCGCATCCACAAATCTACAACCATAGCACTAACCACGATGACCACATCTCTACGACGTTCTGCAGATCGATTTCGAAGCCGTAGCCAGGGACACTGGGTATACGAATCCGCGCTCCGCATCCAATAGACTAGCTTCCATAAAGAAGAACCATGCTGCCGCCATGGCCGCCGCCGCGGCCTCCGGAACGAGTTCCTTGACGGCATCTAGCTCCAAAGAGCAACCGCTGGCAATACCCGCCGTGCCTCCGCCACAAGCGCAAAGTGCTGCCGAGAAGTCGGCCGCAAAGCGCCGGATGAGCAAGAAAGCGAAGAGAGGGCGCGAGGGAGAAGGTGGTGGTGATGGTGGGGATGATGGGGACCCGGAAGTCGTCAAGGGTTCCAAGAAGAGGAAGGGAACTACAACTGGGGATGATGAGGATACTTAGTCTTTGGCAAAAACTGAGGCTGGAGATTTTATGGATGGGGCGATACTCGTGTGGTTGTTCGTGGTGGCGGTGGGGGCAATAAGTGGATGGGGCTGGGAAAATTATTCTGAATTGGGAGGTTTTTTTTCTTTCTTTCTTTTTTTTTTTTTGGTGGGGGACCCTTAACGATACGCGATATACGTACGTACAGTACATTTACTACACCTATGGGATCTTTTTGTTTATTTGTAGGTTTTCGTTTTACGTTACAGGTGTTCAGTTCAGCTGCAGTAATATAAATTACCCAATTGCTTTTAAACCGTCTAGCCTACTGTTACAATGTAAAGTACTGCACTCCGAGGTACAGCAACCGGAAGGGGTGGTGAGTAAGACAAAGCAACGGAACACAAGCTGCTAAAGTCACAAGTAATCATCCCGCCGGAAGATAGGAGGAATACCTTAGCTCAGCACATTCTCATGATGACAGCGCCAAATGATCAACTCGCTCAGAGAGGGGACTTTTGCCTAACCAACCCCACTTACGCACAGTTCAACTTCCTCCCCCTTCATACATCATGCGTCGGCATCCGCCATTCACGCAGGGAGGGAGGACCAGAGTAGAATAGAAGAATGCTTCCAGAGAAATCCCCGTACCTGACCACCACCGCCACCGGTAAGATGAAGGCGCAAGATAAACCGGGAACCCTTCTAACAGGATGCGACCAGTAACGTACAGTACCGTACGTAATAAGGAAAACGAGCAAGAGAGACAGACAAGCGGTACGGGAAGTAAAACACAAGAAGAAAAGAAAAAAAAGTAAAAAAAAATTTAATGGGAAAAAAAAGGTACCGGTACTGTACCAACGGATGGATTGGAGAGGGGGGGAGGGGGGGGTTTGTCAGGTTTGGTGAAACTTTGCACTGCCGGTACGATACTCATTGTACTCATTGTACTTATACAAGTACTGTACTCCTACATAAGTCTAAGGCTTAGGAATACACAAGTACGAGTACAGTACCATGTACGGTACTTGTAGACTATCGTAAGCACCATGCCAAGGCCTGGCAAAGCCCAGATCCCCAGCACCAAGGTTGTCTTGTGTCTTGTGTCTTGTCTTGTCTCGAAATTCGCCAGTGGCGAGGTGACAATGGAAACTATCTGCACTCTTACCTACTATGATACATCCATAACCTCTCGGCCAGTTCGCACACTCCCGATGATTATCCTTCTCCGCGTGCATGACCAAGGTATTAATTACTCCGTTGCAACAATCTTCACACGCCCGCCGGCACGAAGTACTGTACAGTACAGTTACCGGGTACGGTAGTGTGATGAAAGAAAGTGCCGATAATTCAGGACAAAGGGACACAACTTCCTTGAAATACGAAATGTGACATCTGCAACAGTCCTACCCACCGGCAGCTACGGTAATAAGTTTCCTCTCTCTCTCCCATGATATATACCCAGACTTTTTCTGAAACACTTTTTCCATGGCTCACTGGAAACCTGGAAGATGTGGTTAATTGCACGAGCATTTCTTTATCGGCACTGTGGTTCTCCTCCCATCCATAATAACCCATCTATCTGCCGGCATCCATTCATCGACTACCTACCCCACCTATCCACCTATCCACCTATCCGTCTTTCAGCTGCTCACCCGCTCTACATACTGTCTGTATACGCTCATCCACTACTCCACCGCCACCACCACCAACGCTGGGGGTAGGTATGTCTGGCGCAACAACAGAAGAGATAAAAGGGATGGAGGGAATGCATTAAGCACGTTTTGATGTCAGACATAACAAGCAAAGAAATAGAGAGGAGAAGAGAAGGAAAGAAGAATGAAAGAGAGAGAGAAGGGATGATGAATGAATGAAAGGATGAAAAAAAGAAGAAAAAAGAACCAGAGGGAAAAAAAAACCTCCGCACAATCCACAAATGACAATTTGTTTATGATATATCGCCCAAAACTAGCCCACCGTACCATTTCCAAGATCCCAAAATATCCCCCACCACCTACCTACCTACCTTACCTTCCCTCAACTTCCGCTCCTCCTCTGAGATACTTGTTTATTATCCCCACTTCCGTGGAGTTGTCTTTTTTTTCTTTTTCTTTTTCACTTTCTTCCCTTTGAAACAAGGGGGAGGGGAAGAAGAACGTTGCTTAGCTCCATTGGACCAGATAAAACGGTTTCGGGATGCCCATGCAATGGAATGACCAAGCGGACGCCAGGGTATGTTTGTTTTCCCCCCCGAACATCCTGGATGTTTTTCAGTCACTGTTTCTGTTGGGTTTTTCGTTTCTTCTTCCATGAGATAACTATTCGTGTGTTATATACTACTACGCATTACACACCCTCTCTCTAGGTTGATAGAGAATGGTGAGAGGGGTGAGAGTGAGAAGAAAAGCAATAGCAAGGCTGACATGACATTTATGGTGTGGCGTTTTGTGACGCGTGATGCGTGCTTGCTGCAGCTCTTCGCCAATGTACTCAAGCATCACGTTGTCAAACTGGATTACCAGCAGCTTGCCCGAGCCATGGGAGATAGTTCGTCATTCTCACTCTCCCCTACCCTATCTACCGGTGCTCTACGAGTATTGACAGCTTTCACAGATGTGACACCAAAAGCAATATCCCACCGAATCGCCAAGATTAAAGAAAAGGCTCAAGCACACCGCAATAGATGGGACCCGTATATCAGGCTCGTACCCTCTAGTAAACGCGTTGCCAGTCTAAAGCCTACGCCGAAGGGTACACTCAACGAGGAGGGCGACGACGAGGAGGGGAAGGGATTCGTGGATCTAAAGAGCGAGGATGGCCAACTGTTTTCTGCCAACTCCGGAGGTGTGGATGGAGGAGTTGTGGTGGGTAGCCAGATGCTCAGATTTGACGAGAGCTGTGGTGGCGAGATCGGGGACACGGTTGTTGCCGCTGCGGATTGTGGTGGGGGTGGTGGCGGTGACGATGGTAGGAATTATTTGCTTAGAGTAGATGGACAGGGGCACTGGCACGTCCCTGCCAGTGAACCTGTTGTTTATGGAATGTATGAGGCGGCCGAGGGGGCGGTAGGGAAAGATGGGGTTGGGATCCATCTCCCTTGTGCGGCAATGCCCTCGTACCCTTCCGCTGTCGTTGTCGACGACGATGGGGGTGAGGGTGGAAGTAGGGAGGGCAGGGATTTTTACGAAGAAGGAGAAGCTTACGAGAAGAGCGCTTAAATGGCTAGCCTGATCCTTACTTTTTTTTCTTCCACGATACTCTTCCATTTTTCTTTTCTTCTATGATAATCCAACTGCTTTTTTTCTTCTTTTCCTTTGATTACTTACTGTACTCGTAAGGTGTTTTTTCTCTTTTTTTCTTTTTCTTTTTTTCCCTTTCCTGTCATCGAGAGGTGGTTTTGGTTTTCCAATATCTTTCCCGTTCACACGAGCACTCTGCTGCAATTGGCACGATATTTTCTGCCACGCAACTCATTCCCATTCTCCCTCCCCCATTGTTCCAATGGGACCTACGCCACGTCCAGCCCAATTGGATAGGATATATTCCCACGGAATAGTCGTGGTCCGAAGTGTTTGGTTAGGATATGATATCAATTCGAACAAATTTCCGCACTTCCAGCCACACCATCTCCATCACCGATAATCACTCGCGTGATAGGCTTACATAGGAGATGCTAATAGTGATAGCGATGAGTGATAGCGATGAGGTCAATCTGCTCGCTGGCTACCATCTAACATACCTTATTCTGTGCACCCCATCGATAACCTTTCCACTCGACCCTGCGCAAAAGGAATCCACAGAACAGTGAACAATTCGCGTGTGAATCTCCCCCTCCCCCCAACCTCCTCACCGCAAACTCGAACGCGAACGGGGGGAAAGTTAAGCAAGTACCGTATCGCCATAGGGAGAAACATCATCGTCGGTATTAGTGATGCTCACCGAGTTGTGATTTTTCCAGAATTCTTAGTGATGATTCTAGGAATTGGCCAAGTTATATTTATATCATACACCCCCCCTGTTGTCAACAACACAGTAAAAAGACAAGACTTTTTTTTTGCCCAACTGAATAACTGAATTTCTGCACCCGTACCCCCAGCCCCATTCATCCGCCCGCACATAATAACCATACGGCACTCGAGGATTACAAAAAATCTACAAATATCGCTAGCGAATAGCGAGAGGGTAATACCCGGAGCGCAAGGACAACTTCCGAAAATCCCACTTTAGTCAATCTTAGAAAGTTCTTGTGTGTGTGTGTGAGACGGGGTGGGGGGGGGGGGCTGTGGAGGCGCTATGATATCATATTGATCTTGCAACCGGGGACCCAATACTGTAAAAGCAGAGCTTCCCGCTCCCACAACTTTTTTGTGGAGTGGCCGCTGAAACATGGTTAGCAGGGGGGGGGGGGTTGCTGTCCAAGATACAGAATGTACTGTACTGTACTCAGTATTGGCTCCACCATTGATATGTATTATTCCTGGAGAATTATTAGCATCATACCATGTCAGTACGAACGGGCCGCCGCGATGCACAAGTACCGTACCGCATCGTGGGGATAATACGACGAAGGGCGGTACGTACTGTACTCCAGTTACTCGTAGCTTCTTCAAACGGCCCTCCTTCAACCGATGCCCAAATTGACACCTGCCAACCCACTCACTCACGGCATTCGGTTCCCGAGTATAAGTTAAAAATAAATAAAACACGCAAATGACCCAAATCCTAGAACCTTCCAGAACCGAAATTACAGCAAGATGTGAGACTGACTGACTGACTGAGACCGGTAACCGGTGTATCCACAAATGAGCTCGAAACCGGCCTTTTTCGAAAAACCTTGGGGGGGCTTATAATAGGTCCGTTGCCACGGAACTGTTCACCACAAACAAATTCGGCGTGCCGCGCGCGCCTCACGGAGGGCCCGACTTTAGGTTAGGGGCTTTGCAATGTCTCCATGGACCTTGTATGTAAAAACAATTTATCATACAATGGTCAAATGTTATTACCTATGATACTCGTGCCTCATCGCCTCGAGCAGGACGTCGGGGCGTAAGGTAACGGACGCTGACGCGGGGATCGGTATGATAATTTGTATGAAGCTGGCCGAGTGCACCCGAGCGCGTATTAAATTCGGGACTCGAATCGCAATTTTACTTTCGGCGGTGAAACCTATGAAATACCTTAGATCCACCTTTCGATGTTTCGAGGATAGCGATATTACTATGACTTTCTACGTTCTAGGGTTCTATTGGTTCCTCTTTTCTGGGCTATAATTTTTCTTGAATTCCAGTATTAAATTTTGTCAGTGTGAAAAATTAA